CGGAACTACTAGCGAGACCGAAGTCTCTCTGCAAAACATAAAATAGGCAAACGTGAGTACAAATGTACCCAGCAAGACTTACATCAGAGCTAACTACATATGCATCATTATCAACAAAGGGGATGGTGGGGTTTAACTGCAGCAAGCCAGCTTTGACTCGGTGGCTATCCTAAACTACCACTGCAAGCGACTCTTTTGAGGTGGCGCACACGAGTCCACATATTCACCATATCAATACACCACTATGGATCCGCTCTCGTCTCCCTACGAGAACGCCGTCCATAGCACTCACGCTTATCTTGCGTATTTTAGAGTATCCACTTTCACTTGTCTATGAACTGATATAAGCAACCCAGAAGTCCTTTTCCGCGGACACGGCTATTCGAATAGATGATGTTAACCCTGCAGGGGTGTACTTCTTCACACACGCTCTCACCACTTACCGCCGTTTACACGACATGTACTCGGCAACCTTCAAGCGGAAGCCCAACGTGGGTGTCGGCCACGACCTACCTAATCACCTAAGTCTCTAGTCCAGGTTTATCGCCTATTCGGGTTCCATCCATGAGGAGATCCGGCCGGAGTTTCGCTCACAGCCCCAAACGATGTGAACAGGGTTCCCGAGACACCAAACGGGCGCCCGGTACACCGTGCCACGTGCCTACCGCATCACAGCCCACCCCTACGGTCAGCGCTGCCCACGGCCTCCAGCATACTACAAACACCAGAAACTACTTGCAACTCCTGGACAGAGGACAAGGGTGATCAAGAAGCCGAGAGGGTCCATTGGTTTCGGGCCCAATGCGTGGTAGTAGCTGAATCATGGATCACAAACACAGAACTCAGTTCCTGAGGACGGCTGCAATGAGACAACCCACCATGTACTCTTACATGGCCTCTCACCGCTACCTTTACCAAATCGTGTTCACACACTTAGCTCACACACAATAGGACAGGTTCACACGCCTCTGATTCATCCCCGATGAATCAGACCTGACTCAACTCTAAGCAATAGCAGGCATGACAAACAAACATGAATGAGTAGGCACATCAGGGCTCAAACAACTCCTACTCATGCTAGTGGGTTTCATCTATTTACTGTGGCAATGACAGGTCATGCAAAGGATAAAGGGGTTCAGCTACCGCAGCAGGTAACAGATGAATCGTTGTTGTCCTAATGCAGTAAAAGAAAGCAGGAGCGAGAGAGTGGGATTGTATCGGAATGAACAAGGGGGTTTTGCTTGCCTGGCACTTCTGAAGATGGCATTGAGTCTTCATCAGTGTCAACGATCGCATCATCGGTATCACGTTTATCGAGAGGGGACAAATACCGGCAACACAGAAGGGAACACAATCAATGCAATGCACAATATGATGCATGATCATGACATGGCAAAATGAATGTGTTTTGGGCTAATGCAACTAGCAACAGATTAAATGAAGTTGGTTTGAATACAAGATTCAAATTCAAACTCCATATGTGATTATTCAAATGCCATTTAATTGATTTGTGCTAAACAGCACCTATAAGTTGTTCTAACATGCATGAAAATGGTACAGATGGATTCCTTGAATTTTTCTGATAATTTTTCATATATAATTTATTTAATTTGGAGTTACGGTTAATTTTCTATGATTTATAGAAGTTTTAGCTATTTTCTGAAATTATTAAATCATTTAAGATTTATTTAAATTCCAGAAAGAAGTTATTGCGTCATCATGACGTCATAGTGACGTCAGCAGGTCAACAGGCGCCGTCCAGGTCAAACTGACCTGTGGGACCCATATGCCAGCGTCACAGGTTAAACAGGGGGGGTTTAGTTTAGTTTAATTAAAGATTAGGGCACTAGGGCCCACATGTCAGTGTCAGCAGGGGGGTAATTAAATTAAAATAAACTAAACTAATTAATAGGGGGCTGGCCCCACCTGTCATCGACCCAGGGGGGGGGGTCAAACCCCTGGTCAGCAGGGCCTAACCTGCCGGCGGCTTGACGCCGGCGAGGCCGAGACGGCGGAGGCCTTCGGATTTCTTGCTCCGGCGGCCAAACGGGCGGATGAGGGCGTCTATGTGGAGCTGGGACTCGCCCGCATCCATCTGTGCAAACGGCAGGGGCTGAGGTGGCCCGAGCTCACCGGAGGCAAGCTCGCGGCGGTGGCCGGAGTTCGGGCGAGGTCGGGGTTGGCGTTAGGGGGCACGGGAGGGGAAGCTGGTGTGTGAGTTAGGTTCCTGGTGAGGTGTGGAGCACGTTGTCGTGCTCGGTAGCTAGCTCCGGTGGCTCTGGCCTTGTCCGCGTCATCGCCGGCGGTGAGGAGCTCACGGCCCCGGTGAAAAGGGCGGCTAGCGTGCGGGAACGAGCGCGGGGAGGAGGGGAAATGGAAGAGGAGCTCACAGCGGATCCGGTAGAGGCAACGGCGAGGCCGGGGAGGGGCTGGAGCTCGCGAATCCTCGGAAGTTCGCCGGCGGCCGAAGGTTGGGGACGAGCTCCGGGAAGACGCTACAGGGCTCCCGCGGTCGAATGGGTTGGTGTAGAAGACGCAGAAGGCGATGGCGGTTCCTCTGAACTCATCGGAGAGGCACGGGGTGGACGATGGCCGCGGTGATGCTCGTCGGCGGCGACGGGTGTGTTCGGTGGCTGCGCCCGAGAGAGCCAGAGGAAGAGAGGAGCTCGGGGAGAGAGTGAGAGGCCTGGGGGGGTGCGTGGCGTCGCGGACGGGGTCCAGGGCGACGAGAGGAAGCAGGAGGTGGCCAGGGGGAAGCAGGAGGTGGCCGAGGCCTCTCGGGCGCGCGCCACGCCTCGCTTCTGTTCGTCCTCCTGGCAAAGGAGGAAGATGACAAGGGGGGGGGAAGGAGGTGGGCTGGGCCGGCCAGATGGGCTGGCCAGCTGGGCCGGCTACAGGTAAGTGGCCCAGGTAGGCTTCTGTTCTTTTTATTTTTTTCTTCTGTTTTGTTTTATTTAATTTATTTTGCCACTGTTTTGAATTTAAAATAATTCAAACAATGCCAAAAACTCCTCTGAATATTTTATATTGCTAAATGGACTTTTCCAAAAGCTTATAAAATATATCAGGGGTATTTGAAATTATATTCTAATTATATGAATATAATTCAAATTCAAATAGCTAATGAATTAAATCCAAAGTCCCAAAAATAATTCCTTAAAAATGTTCAATATTTTGGTTGGGACCAGAACCCTTACCAAAAATTATCAAACATTTAAGAAGAGCCTTTTGGAGCAATGAATAAGATTTCTAGGGTTTTTGCCCCTCTTTTATTTAGGGTTTTGAGGCTTCCAATATTCCTCAATTCAAGTTTCAAAAATATAGACATGATGCACACATGAAGCTAACCTAGAGCAATGCCTGAAGCTAGGGATGTGACATGGGGACGGCACACATTCATTCTACCATTGGAGGGCTCTTGCCTCTGCATGCGGTGTTTCTGTTAGAGGAGATGTGCCCTTGTGAAAGTGTGTCGTGTTTCTTAATCATGTTTTAGTTATGATGATGATGTATGATTAGAGGGACTAATACCTTCCTGAAGTAATTATCAGATGTTAATTCCTCTACACTGATAAAGGATGGAAGAAAGGCAGGCTCCAATCCAAAGAGGGAAAAGTTGTTGGCTAGATTACAAAAAATCGGAGGTTTGTTTCGGTTTATCTTTTTGAGTCAATAGAAAAGCCGCATCATTAAGAGGGGCTGAGATAATGTTTCTAGTTAGGAGATCATAACAAGTTCACTTCAATTCATACACTCACTCAAACATCCAACTACACATCAAATTCATCATTGCCACTAAGTTTCATCAAATACACATCCTTCTAGTGCCCCTGGATCTCCAGGGTCCAATGGTTTCCTCTCTGGAGAAACGGATCTCTTCGGGGTCCCATGCCTCGGATGTCCGCTGTTCCGTGCCCTGGATCTCCGGGGTTCCTATGGCTCCCTCTCTGGAAACTCCGGGATCTTTGAGGTATCCATGGCATCTCCACTGGATGTGCTAGACCTCCGGGGTGTGAGACCCTGGATATCTGTGATATCTGTTGGCTCGCCCTCTTGATGGGATGGATCTCCGGGGTCTCATGGCCTGGATCTCAGGGGAGCCCGGATCTCCAATGCTTCCCCCAAACTCCGGGGTACACCGAGTGGCCCAATAATTGTAAGATTTGAGAGGGGATATAAAAGCCACTCCTTCCACCTCCAACCTAATCCTTCCACCTTGAGTTGCCCGCCCTTGTCTGAACTCGAAAAAGCTCATCCTCCATTGATTCCTCCACCCAAACACTCACAAATCTCGAGGATTCAAAGAAGATCAATCGATCTACACTTTCACCGAAACACTCGTCTTTCATGGCGGGTGGCCACAAGTGGCTCCAAGGTATGGTGCACGACTTTAGGTACAAAAATACACAATAAAATTCCCCTACAAGCACTGTGTCCATATGCTTTCACAAAAATATAACCCAAGGGACAATTTGTACATGATTATTCTTTTTGTCAACATGTATTTTTACCACACCTTTATGTAGCACTACAGCACACAAGCTTATTCAACACACTAGTTGTATACCAACAACGAAGCATACACACATACATACCACAGCTTATTTTACATACCGGCATTCGCAACAATGGGAGTCCAACTCTGGTCAATACTCCAAAAACACAACTATGATTACCCTCCTGTGCCTGTTTGGAATCATGAACTCCTGTAGTCCCACTGAAGAAAAATGGCTACGCAGCTTTCAAGGATGACAATGGAGGGGTCTCAGAATACTTCCAAGTACTCGCCATTTCAGAGTACCGCTCACCCTGGACATCACCGGCAGTGGCATACGACTCGAGTTCGGCCATCTCCTCTGGTGTGAGCCTCACAAATAGTGCTCCCACATTCTGGTTGAAATTCTCGATTTTTGTTGTGCCAGGTATGGGACAAACATCGCTCCCCTGATGATGAACCCAGGCCAATGCAAGTTGTGATGGTGTGCACCCTTTTCTTGTTGCCATTGCGTTAACACGCTCAAATATCAGGGTATTCTTCTCAAGATTTTCTGGCTGGAATCTGGGCATATGCTGCAAAAGTATGAAGTTTTCAGTGAAATGGACAACTTGCCGTGGAAGTCCCATTCCCCTTTTGTGACAAGAAACTGAAAAGGCGTTTAAATTAAGAAAAGGTATGTGTATGATCAATGCAAAGAAAAAAATCCATCAAGCATAAACACAAATATGTTTGATTGATGAAGAGTTAGAAGCTAACTTAAAAAGCAGGATTAACCTGCACCAAAAATAGCAAAGTCTACATAGCAGTCGTTGGAATTCACCTTGCGGTAGTCCTGATCTGATAGCGAGTCGATCAGTTTTGCTCCACCAGAGAAAAATCCTCTACCAAGTGGGCTGTAAGGTACGATTCCGATTCCAAGTTCTCTTGAATTGACACAACAAAATAAATTTAGACCATGTAGTCCCTGATTTCAACAAGCAGAAGATAGCAATTTTTGTTCATTACCTGCAAGTTGGAATTATGTCTTCTTCCACATCTCTAGACCATAATGACCACTCCAGCTGAACTGCAGTAATAGGATGGACAGCATGAGCCCTTCTGATTGTTGATGCAGATGCTTCAGATAGTCCGATGTATTTTATCTTTCCTTCTTCGACTAGCTTCTTGAGTTCGCCAATCTAGCAAGGTGGAAACTCAGATTTAAGATGTAAAATAAAAAACATGTCTCAAATTGTGCAACTGGGGTTCTCAATATTCCGCCAATCTAGCAAGCTCACGTTGTATATGACAGTAACATAAAAAGGGATAGTTCACGTCCACGTTCAAATGTACATGTCTAAAATGGTGCAAGTTCACGGCTGCTAAAGGTATCATTACTTACAGTGGATAGATCAAATTCTTGTGACTAAAAAAGAAAGAAATGTCATGAGAATAGCAGCATTTAACCACGTTTCTGTCCTATTATTTTTTATTAATTATTATGAATCGTTTGGGTGAAGTTCAGTCGATGTGGCATTTGGAATTTAGGTTTGGATACTCAAAAGAAATGATGGAGTGTAGTACTATTTTGAACTTTTAAAGATCAGCAAACTTATTCTTTGAAAAGAAAAGTAAGATTAGATCATCAGTGAGATGAACTTTGGGGAAAGTTTAATCCAGGGTTCAAGTCCTGGAAACAGCCTCTTACAGAAATGTAGGGAAAGGCTGCGTACTATAGACCCAAAGTGGTCGGACCCTTCCCTGGACCCTGCGCAAGCGGGAGCTACATGCACCAGGTTGCCCTTTTTAATCCTGTCTTTCAGCTAAACATTTTGAGTTTGCTGATCTTAAAAATGAGAGGAGACAGGTGATCACTCATGTGAGTTGTTTCTGAATTAGTGCATATTTTGTTAACCATTCAACAGACTTGTGAGGCCGGGGTTTATCCTTCTTTTCGGGAAAAGGAAAAAAACTACTCCCTCCTTCTAAATATAAGTATTTTTTTAGAGATTTCAATATGGACCACATACAAATGTATATAGACGTATTTTAGAGTGTAGATTCATCCATTTTGCTCCGTACGTAGTTCATATTGAAATCTCTAAAAAGACTTATATTTATGAACAGAGGGAGTAATTGTTTAGCTAGTATGTGGACCTGGGTCCAGCATCACCTTTTCGTTGTAGCTAACAAAATAGATAAGTGGGGGTGTGACACTCACCGTGACCTCGATGGGCACATTTTTGTCGATGCGGTGCTGGTAGTAGAGATCAATACAGTCGACACCCAGCCGCTTGAGGCTGCCCTCGCAAGCCGCGCGCACGTACGCTGGATCCCCCCGGATGTTCCACTTGTTGTCTGCGAACGAGATGCCGAACTTGGTGGCCAGATCCACCTTCTCCCTCATGTCGCCTTGCAACGCCTGCGAGGAGCATTACATCGAACACCTTGAGTGCACGTCCGTTCAGAGTCCGACTAATTAGTCTAGCTTCTAGGAATCTAGGACCAACCTTGCCGAGCAGCATCTCGTTGGTGTGCGGCCCGTACATGTCGGAGGTGTCGAGAAAGGTGACTCCGGCGGCGACGGCGTGACGGATGAGCGCGACCATGTCGGGCTCGGGCTTGGGCGCGCCGTAGAAGGCGGACATGCCCATGCAGCCGAGGCCCTGCGCCGAGACCTCCATTCCCTGGGAGCCCAGCTTCACGCGGGGAACCGCCGCAGGAGCGGATGCCATGTCTCCGGCAAGATGCTGCTCTCAGGCGTGGCCGGGTCGATCGGCGGCCACCGTGGTTTGGTGTTGGTGTGGATTGTCGTGGAGGAGCTCGTAGCCTCGTACCTTTATGTAGTGTCAGTGCCATGTGAGGCTGGCGGGAAGGGTAGCGTCACCCCATATGTCACGTGAGTTGACGAGCGTGGAGTTTCCGTTCAGAAGGGAGCCGTTCCCAACAGGGTAGCGTCATCCCATATGTAAACGGGGCGTCTTGCTACAGAATGAAGTAGACCTCATCACGTGCCACGTCTTTTTTTTCCCGGGTTCTCCTGGGCTCCTGGCACGTCCTTCGTCGTACAAATCCTAGTTGTTTATTCTTCGGGGACGAAATCGTCCTACAAATTCATATTCATGGCCACAAAAATTACGTTAAGTCGTGGTAAAAAATAACAGCTTGACTGGGAATAGCAAAAGTCCGGCGCGGCAAAGCGCGCCTACCCATCTACTCCACAAGTCCACAAGTCCTAAACAACCGAGACCGATCAAGCATCCTAGTGTTTTTGGCTGCATTTATTTATTGACACCGCCTTCACCGAAGAAGAGAATAGAGTCGCCATCGCCGCTGTTGATGGAGAGAGGTTGCATAATACGTTGCCACCACACTAGAAGTGGTCGAGGGAGGGGGTGAGGGGTTGATGCACGCAATCAAACACATCCAGGGTGATTCTCCGGTCAAGATGATAAACGTAAACAAGAAGTACTCTCTCCGTAAAAAAAAAAATATAAGTAGTGATCTAAGAGCAACTTCAATGGGGCGATCCATTTCATCCGCCCGTGTCCGCGGGTCGGAGCGGACAAAATTGAAGGCCCAATGCGCCGACCCAAACTTAAATCGAGTCCACCTGGCGTCTGCGCCGACCCATTTCCAGCCCAAAATTGCGCCTGGAATGCGTCGGCGCGGACGCGAAGCGGACGCGCCGCGCGTCTCCTCACCGTCTGCCGCGTCCCCACCTGTAGGCCACCCAACTGCCACCAGTCGTCTTATTTATGACACACCGACAGCGGGCCCACGCGTCAGCCAGTGGAAGCGTCCTTTTTTAACCACGCGTGCGGCGGGGGCCAGCCTTATCCACTTCTCCCGTCCACATCTGCCCCCCCCCCCATGCTTCCTCGCCGGCGACCGCAAACCCTAGCGCGCCCATGGGCCTCTTCGGCAGCAGCAATGGCAAGGGCAAGGGCATCCCCGGCGCCTCATCCTCCCGTGCTCCCCCTCCCCCTCCTCCTCCAGCGGCGCTGCGTTTCCGTCCTGGTCGCCGACGCATGCACATCCCGGTGCACCAAGCGTGGTCGCACTGGGAGTACGGGCAGTCGCTGTCGTACCCCGATGTCACGCTTCCGCACCATTGGCATCTGGATCCGCAACGGATCCCGATGCTGGCGGTTCCGCGGAGCCAGCGGGCGCACGACGACGAGGTGCGTAGGCGCCGCGCGCAGCTCACGCTGGAGCAGCGTCGGCTGCCAGAGTACGCCGCCGACTCTCCCAACTGAGAGGCGTGGTTCGCCCTCGAACACGAGGAACAACATCGCTCGGGTCCCACCGCCGTTCCCGTCGCCGCCCCCGCAGGTAGAGCCGAAGGACATGGAGGCGGAGGCGGAGTACCAAGCCGCCCTCGAGGAGGCCCTGCACATGCGCTGGAGGCTAGCCGCCTCGAGGAGGACGCGCACTGGGATGGGCTGGAGCAAGCTCTTGCCCTGTCGGTGGTGGGGGACTCCGTCCACACCCCGCTCTTCGTGCCGCCACCGCCACCGTCGCTGCCCAAGCCGGAGCCGACGCGGAAGCGCTCCCGCCTCCACCCACTTGGCCAGAGGAGGCCTGCTCATGGACGGGCCGGTACCACGAGTGGGTGAGCGCGCCTCCTGTCCACTTCGCCGCGACGCCGGAGCAGGAGGCGGCGCTGGAAGGAGCACCGGCTCTGCCAGGAGCAGGCCGACGGCGAGGAACAGATGCGCTACGAGGTCATGCTCCAACGTGACGCGGAGGCGCTCCGGCTCGAGGAGGAGGAGGAGGGGCGCGCGCGGCTGGCCGCAATGCCGCCGCCCCAGCAGACGCCGGAGGAGGCTGCCCTGACAGCGTACCAGGCGGCGTTCGGGTGGACTGGCCCTGCTCAGGTCTTCATCGACCTCACCGACGACAACGGCGTCGACGACAAGGGCAAGGGCAAGGCCGACAACGTCTAGGGCAGCGTGCGGGGCGGCAGCGTGCGGGTGCAGACTTTTTTAATGTTTTATTTAATGTTTAATTAGATCTAAGTAGACTTTGGCCGGAGTTTGACCGGACACTTATGTTTAATTATATTTATTTCGTGCAACCTTTTTGTTTATTTTCCACGCCAGCGCATTTAGATCGGCCTTCTCGTTGGACGGTCAAGCCGACCCATTTTAAAATACGGACGTGCACATTCGCCTGGCCGGTCCAAACGGACAAAGCGCGTATCCGTTTAGATCGCCTTGTTAGAGTTGCTCTAAACGCTTTTATATTTCCTTACGGACGAAATACTTTTACGGTGCTCCAGAACCAAGCTAAAACAAGCATCGAGGCTACCAGCATAAAGGCAGTCTTCGGTCCTATCTTCCAAACTGGATTGTTTGGGCATGTAAAGGCTGAACTATCTATGGTAACCACTGTTGGTCTCTGCACCACTGCACATACTCTACCAACGGTTTCATTACATAATTTAAACAGGATTATTCATTCTGCCGACATATTAATATCACACATCACTTGTATTTTGTTGGTCAATACAATACAGAAGCCTTGATAGCAATGACATTTATTAAGCAGGAGCAAATCGGTAACCAAGCATAACATACACACATCGCAGCTCAGTTCATATACATGCATCTGCAGAAATGGAAAACGAAATCCTGGGTTCAACTCTATCCTGCTTTTACCTTCTCATCAAAAGTAAACAGTGTAGTTGTTGAAGAGATGAAACTGTCTACTCAGCTTTCCAAGATGACAATGGAGGGGTCTCAGACTCCTTCCAAGTACTAGCCATTGGAGGGTACCTGTCACCCTGAACATCACCTGCAGCCGCGTAAGACTCGAGTTCAGCCATTTCCTCTGGTGTGAGCTTCACAGCTAATGCTCCCACATTTTGGTTGGAATTTTCAATTTTTGTTGTCCCAGGGATGGGGCAAACATCGCTTCCCTGATGGTGAACCCAAGCCAAGGCAAGTTGTGATGGTGTGCATCCTTTCCTTGTGGCCATCGCATCAACACGCTCAAATATCTGGGCATTCTTCTCGAGACTCTCTGGTTGAAATCTAGGTAAATTCTGTAGAAGTATAAAGTTATCAGTAAAAGATCAAACTGGTAGTACAAGTTCCACCTCAATTTTATAGGAGAAATGGACAAGTCTTGTATGTACACTCATGCCAGTTCACAAAAAACTGTGATTTTAGACAATGATATGGTCCTCGCAGCATTTTTATTATAATATACTTTGTTACCAGTAGCTTTACAAGTTCAAATGCTAGTTGACAAAAATTGTTGAATTTGATCCCCCCAGATGCGCTACGAGGTCATGCTCCAACGTGACGTGGAGGCGCTCCGGCTCGAGGACGAGGAGGAGGGGCGCGCGCGGCTGGCCGCAATGCCGCCGCCCCAGCAGACGCCGGAGGAGGCTGCCCTGACAGCGTACCAGGCGGCGTTCGGCTGGACTGGTCCTGCTCAGGTCTTCATCGACCTCACCGACGACGACGGCGTCGACGACAAGGGCAAGGGCAAGACCGACAACGTCTAGGGCAGCGTGCGGGGCGGCAGCATGCGAGGCGGCAGCGTGCGGGCGCAGACTTTTTTAATGTTTTATTTAATGTTTAATTAGATCTAAGTAGACTTTGGCCGGAGTTTGACCGGCCACTTATGTTTAATTATGTTTATTTCGTGTAACCTTTTTGTTTATTTTCCACGCCAGCACATTTGGATCGGCCTTCTCGTTGGACAGTCAAGCCGACCCATTTTAAAATACGGACGTGCACATCCGCCTGGCCGGTCCAAACGGACAAAGCGCGTATCCGTTTGAATCGCCCTGTTAGAGTTGCTCTACACGCTCTTATATTTCCTTACGGACGAAGTACTTTTACAGTGCTCCAGAACCAAGCTAAAACAAGCATCGAGGCTACCAGCATAAAGGCAGTCTTCGGTCCTATCTTCCAAACTGGATTGTTTGGGCATGTAAAGGCTGAACTATCTATGGTAACCACTGTTGGTCTCTGCACCACTGCACATACTCTACCAACGGTTTCATTACATAATTTAAACAGGATTATTCATTCTGCCGACATATTAATATCACACATCACTTGTATTTTGTTGGTCAATACAATACAGAAGCCTTGGTAGCAATGACATTTATTAAGCAGGAGCAAATCGGTAACCAAGCATAACATACACACATCGCAGCTCAGTTCATATACATGCATCTGCAGAAATGGAAAACGAAATCCTGGGTTCAACTCTATCCTGCTTTTACCTTCTCATCAAAAGTAAACAGTGTAGTTGTTGAAGAGATGAAACTGTCTACTCAGCTTTCCAAGATGACAATGGAGGGGTCTCAGACTCCTTCCAAGTACTAGCCATTGGAGGACCCTGAACATCACCTGCAGCCGCGTAAGACTCGAGTTCAGCCATTTCCTCTGGTGTGAGCTTCACAGCTAATGCTCCCACATTTTGGTTGAAATTTTCAGTTTTTGTTGTCCCAGGGATGGGGCAAACATCGCTTCCCTGATGGTGAACCCAAGCCAAGGCAAGTTGTGATGGTGTGCATCCTTTCCTTGTGGCCATCGCATCAACACGCTCAAATATCTGGGCATTCTTCTCGAGACTCTCTGGTTGAAATCTAGGTAAATTCTGTAGAAGTATAAAGTTGTCAGTAAAAGATCAAACTGGTAGTACAAGTTCCACCTCAGTTTTATAGGAGAAATGGACAAGTCTTGTATGTACACTCATGCCAGTTCACAAAAAACTGTGATTTTAGACAATGATATGGTCCTCGCAGCATTTTTATTATAATATACTTTGTTACCAGTAGCTTTACAAGTTCAAATGCTAGTTGACAAAAATTGTTGAATTTGATCCCCCAGATGCGCTACGAGGTCATGCTCCAACGTGACGCGGAGGCGCTCCGGCTCGAGGAGGAGGAGGAGGGGCGCGCGCGGCTGGCCGCAATGCCGCCGCCCCAGCAGACGCCGGAGGAGGCTGCCCTGACAGCGTACCAGGCGGCGTTCGGGTGGACTGGCCCTGCTCAGGTTTTCATCGACCTCACCGACGACGACGGCGTCGACGACAAGGGCAAGGGCAAGGCCGACAACGTCTAGGGCAGCGTGCGGGGCGGCAGCAGGCGGGCGCAGACTTTTTAAATGTTTTATTTAATGTTTAATTAGATCTAAGTAGACTTTGGCCGGAGTTTGACCGGCCACTTATGTTTAATTATGTTTATTTCGTGCAACCTTTTTGTTTATTTTCCACGCCAGCACATTTGGATCGGTCTTTTCGTTGGACGGTCAAGCCGACCCATTTTAAAATACGGACGTGCACATCCGCCTGGCCGGTCCAAGCGGACAAAGCGCGTATCCGTTTGGATCACCCTGGTAGAGTTGCTCTAAACGCTCTTATATTTCCTTACGGACGAAGTACTTTTACGGTGCTCCAGAACCAAGCTAAAACAAGCATCGAGGCTACCAGCATAAAGGCAGTCTTCGGCCCTATCTTCCAAACTGGATTGTTTGGGCATGTAAAGGCTGAACTATCTATGGTAACCACTGTTGGTCTCTGCACCACTGCACATACTCTACCAACGGTTTCATTACATAATTTAAACAGGATTATTCATTCTGCCGACATATTAATATCACACATCACTTGTATTTTGTTGGTCAATACAATACAGAAGCCTTGGTAGCAATGACATTTATTAAGCAGGAGCAAATCGGCAACCAAGCATAACATACACACATCGCAGCTCAGTTCATATACATGCATCTGCAGAAATGGAAAACAAATCCTGGGTTCAACTCTACCCTGCTTTTACCTTCTCATCAAAAGTAAACAGTGTAGTTGTTGAAGAGATGAAACTGTCTACTCAGCTTTCCAAGATGACAATGGAGGGGTCTCAGACTCCTTCCAAGTACTAGCCATTGGAGGGTACCTGTCACCCTGAACATCACCTGCAGCCGCGTAAGACTCGAGTTCAGCCATTTCCTCTGGTGTGAGCTTCACAGCTAATGCTCCCACATTTTGGTTGAAATTTTCAATTTTTGTTGTCCCAGGGATGGGGCAAACATCGCTTCCCTGATGGTGAACCCAAGCCAAGGCAAGTTGTGATGGTGTGCATCCTTTCCTTGTGGCCATCGCATCAACACGCTCAAATATCTGGGCATTCTTCTCGAGACTCTCTGGTTGAAATCTAGGTAAATTCTGTAGAAGTATAAAGTTGTCAGTAAAA